GCCCTATGAATGTCATGACTATTGTATTAGATGAGTCTTAAATCTTATTAGGTTGAAAAATTTTTGAGTCCCTAAAATTGAGGATATTTTTGATGTCTCTCTTCTCTGAAATTAAAAAAAAAAAATTTTTTTTTTTCCCTTAATGAGCATGCATATATTACTTTCCAGTGTTTTACTTGTAACTGTTGCTACTTTGGCTTTATTTATTTTGACTAAAGAGTGAAGTCACCTTCTCAGATTGCTTTGCTGTGAGGTCAGGTAGATGGTTTGATGCAAGAAGTCCCTTTCCATGGAGTGAGCAAAGAGCATATGTTTAGGTGTCCAGGATAACTGGATAAGGTTTTATTATCTTGAGATTTTAAGGCTGACTCAGGTGTGGACATGAAAGGGTATTGTAAAATGCAGCATTTTCCTCCCAAGTATCTCATGGATTTAACTGAGGTTTTTTTTTGCATTCTTTGCAAATGAAAATATATAGGAATGTTCTTTGTAATTTATAAACTGCTATAAATATTGGTTAATTGCTTGATTTGGAGGAAATAGCTCATCTGTGTTCATTGCAGCCTAGTTAAATCTGTCAACAAATACTGAGAACAGAGTGGGTGCGAAGACTGTGTTCCGGCTTCTGTTTGTATCTATTAAAGAATAAACATAGTCGCCGCCCTCAGCTCATGGATTCGACTTGAAATAATGTAAATAGGCAGTATGGCACTCCAGAAGAGGAAGGTTTGGAGGCTGGTATTACTTTATGATTTCAGACAAAGTGGTCATGTTTATGATACTGCCATTGGGATTGCAGACTGAAATAGGTTTTTGTCTTGTTTTGAAATCATCTCACTTTAATTTAGGATAACTTTTATTATATACCATTGTAATCACTGTGCAGAATGCTTATTTAACATATAACATGGAGACATCATGCCTATCTCCAAAGAGTTTATGTGTTAAAGGAGAAATCTGAGAAGTAAAAGTAAACTAAATAGTCGATTTAACTTCCTGAGTTTTAAAAGGAAGAATCTGTGGCATTTGGGAAACTTTGATGTTGAATGATAGTAGAAAAACAACAAAATCTGGGTGACTTCAGATCATTGAAGATAATGTCATATGCTCATTTTATTTTCTTTTAAATGAACATTATAGGAAATTTTCTCTTGTTAGATAATTTCAGTTGTTGTGACCTAGAGGCTGGTCTTTTCTCTCTTCCTCAAAAATATATAAAGAAATGAGGACTAAAGTTCTCCACTTTCTCCAATATTTATTTTTAAATATTTATATCTGACCATATGTTTGTACTACTTGTGTGATAGAAGCTAAGGTTTTCATGGGGCAGAAATTGAGGGGTTCTGTTTGGCCAGTATTTGTTTTTGTTATACCTGTGACTCTTGATCTATAATACAGTAAAGTGGAAAAGGACAATATTTCTTATTTTATCCTATCATGCTTGTTTATAAGTACATCCTTACATATATGATCTTTTAATTTAGCAGGAACTTGGTAACTTCTGGCAGTTTCTTTTTTTCCTGGCAATTTCTTTTCTGGGTGTTGGGCTTATTATTTAATCATTTGGATCTGAATTACTATGCCTGGAAGGCTGGTTTGCATGATTTCTGTGTGATTCACTTCTGTAGCAGGCAGTGCTCACCCTTTTTAGATGAACAGTGACAGTAGTTGAAGTTGCTACGGGAAGGGAGGTGATGCAGAAGGTGTCATTCAAGACGAGCCCTGTAGCTGCTCTCATAAGATTGCTTCATGGTGGCATTTGCATTCGAGAATTTACCATTGTCCTTTTTTTTTTAGTCCTCAAATTGGAATCAGAAACTTAATATTCTTTATGTCTTAAATAGATGGTACTTGGCAAAGTGACTCCCTTTGGCAGAACTCTTTCTCATGAGAGCTTTTGTTTCAAGCCAGAACACTGGTTTATTAATTTATTCCCAGAGTCATATCTGCCAACCAGCTAGGCAGTTGTGTTGGGTTGACCAGAGCCAGCACACTCTCCTCCACCATTGTTAGGTTAAAAAGTCAGATTATGAGGCCCTGCTCAGCCAGAACAGAATCAGAAAAAGGGAAAGTAGTTGTGATGCCAGTGTTAAATAGCACTGGGTACCACAGCCTGGAGGGTCTGTTTCTGGATGTGGGGGGTATGTACTTATGAATTCATAGGTACTCCCAGGTGTGCAGAGAATCTCCTCTGGATGATCCTGCTCATGTGGGGCCCACCAGCCTGTTACTGCTCTTGCTGTTTCTGACCACCTTGCTTCAGATGGGCTCAGTGTTTAAATGGTCTGTTGATGTATGTCCAGTTCCAGTTACATCTTTTAGGCCGTGACTCAGTGGGACTTTGCATAGCTCTACTCTGATCTGTGTCAATTTCAGAATTTAGCCCTCCAGGAGCAGTTTTCCTTTTTTCCTTTCCAGCTTATGTGTGTATGGGGGCTGGGAAGGGTCCTTAATTTTTCACTCGGATACAGTCATTTAAGGGGGGCTTCCCAGATGGCACAGTGGTCAAGAATCTGCTTGCCAATGCAGGAGACATGGTTTTGATCCCTGGGTTGGGAAGATCCCCTGGAGTAGGAAATGGCAATCCACTCCAGTATTCTTGCTTGGAAATTTTTCATAGACAGAGGAGTCTGGCGGGCTACAGTCCATAGGGTTGCAAAGAGTTGGACACAGCTGAGCGACTGAGCATGTACACACACATAATCAAAATTTCTCCATGTTGCCGTTTGAATATCACTTAGAATATAAATGTAGGCTCTTTCCGTTGAGTTACTATTTGGCGGGGGGAAGCAAGAACTGGGAGAAAAACTTATAGCAGATATTTGACAGCCTCTTCATTGGAGACCACTGACATGGAAGATGTGACTCTCCTGAAAACACCTGAAATAGGTACCTGACATAGGTGTCTAAGGTACGTGAGATGAGATGCCCAACTCCATGTCTTCTAGTCCTTAGCCTGTGGGACATGTATTCCAAAAGGTGTGTAGATCTGTTGTGGATTGGTGGAGACCTGGGTGGTTAATCAGGGGCAGCTTCACCACCACGATGGAGCCTGAGCTGTTCAGTGATCCAGGAAAACACAGGGAAAAGTTTCATAAGCACCTTGGCCAAGCTCTGTGGGCAAGGCTCCATCGATAATTGTCTTTGTCTTATTTCTTTAGTATTTGCTAAATGACAAACCTTGAAGGTTGATTGATTTGATTTGTTTTTTAATTTGGAAAAGAAAATGTCTGTGCTTACCAGGCATGTATTATTATCTAATTTTGCCTACCCTTTTTTTTTTAATGCCTCAACATTTTGCATTGTTTCCTTCAAGCATGACTGTCAAAAGAAATCTCTGCTTCCACAGTTCCCCTATGGAAGCACACTGTGGCCCACTTCCAAATTCAGACCTTGCACGTCATGAAACCCATGTCTTTTCACAAGGATCCATTCAAGCAGCCTTTTAAAAAAGAATTAGGCTCTAAGCCATGCCCGTTTTGTGTTTAAGACTTTTTTCCTGTAAGATGATTTATCCCTCTATAAGTTTCACTGTGGCATTCTCCAAATGCTGCTTAAAATATTTTCTTCCTAGTATCTTTCATGTTGGTTGGTTGGTTGTTAATTTTTTTTGCTGGTTTGATTGCTGTTGTCCAAAGCTTTCATTGCACAGAGCAGAGAGGCCAGCGCCTTGGAAGGAGGGGGGACCCTTGCTGGGAGTCTGCTGTTTAGATTCTGGCCCTACTGTTAATTAGCTGTGTAACCCCTGGGCGAGTTGGCCTCCCAGGGTCTCTGTTTCTTCATCAGGAAAACAAAAGGCTTGGAAAAATAAATACAGGCCCAGACCCAGTGATAAGAAAGGTCACCCTGTGTGCTCATATTGTACATGGCAGCACTTTGGGACTCTTCCTCCCTCTCAGTGGAAAACCTCGAATCAACTCTGGGTGTGTGTGCTTGTGTGGGGTGTTATACTGAGGGCTTTGGAAGCATTGGTGCTCACGAGGCAGATGTGTCTGCAGAAGAGTTGTCTGTCCCCTCTCTGCTTTCGCTTTAGCAGCAAGCTGCTTGCCTTCTTCTTCCTGCCTCTCCTTAGCATGTTAACAAGGGTGTGATGGTAACACAACCCACTCGGATTTGTTACTGTTGGGGTTGTCTGGCCATCTCATCTGAGTTAGTGGAGGGAAGAGAGCTAAGGAAGCCTAACCGACAAAATAATGGTCCTTTTGTCTGTCTCTTGCTGGAGGGGTGGTTTTATGTTTCATCTTAGGCCTGGGCCATTGTGTTGTTTTTATGTGCTCAATATAACCCTGCTTAAAAAATACAGCTCATTATTTAAGGGATTCAGCCACAGGCCTGTTCTTACCTCCCCACCCCCACCTCCAAAGTCCTAACTATGTGTGATAAAAACCCATTGCAGTGTGTGCTATTTGATCAGATCCCCTGGCATCAGGGTTGAAAAGTGTTCCCATTGTATTTATTTTCCAAATGTTTTTCAGTTATGTTTTATTCTGATTAGCCTTCCAAAATGTTTTCCTTATGGTTATATAATCAGTAGCACCTGTAAAACATGCCTTTTACCATGTAGCCTCCTTCTTAACTGTTATCTTTTTGATTCTGTCTTAATGTTTTCTTTTCATGAACGGGGGGAGACCCACATTCCTATGCCAGACATCTTACAGTAATGTGTCCAGATTTAGCCTCATAACCTTAATTAGATGTGGAATGCTGAGAACGCACCATTGTGGGTTTTTTTTTTCCCTATTTTTGTAAAAAGACAGTGACCTCCTGATCACTTCATTCAGTGTTATAAAACATTCTGTGTCTTTAACCTTTAGTTCCGCATGTTAGTTTATTCACAGAAAATTAATGTAAAACTCAAGTTACCTTTATTATCCTAAGTGATCTGTTTGTTTGAAGACAAGTTGCCTTTTGTGTCAGTATGCAAGTTCAATTCCAATTTATAATCCTTAATTCCTCTTCCTTCCCCTCCTCTTCTCTTTAGAAGCAAAGGAGTGTTGAAAATGTTAAAGGCTGTGCTGAAGAAGAGCCGAGAGGGAGGAAAGGGAAGCAAGAAGGAAACAGGTATGTGTCCAAGGTGGAGTTGAGCTGAGCAAGCATGTCGTGTGAGTCCGAAAGGCCCTGCTTCATCCAGGCTGCTATCTCCTTGGGAATGGATCCGAGAAGTGATACGGGTTAGAACAAACAGCATCCAGGAGGCCATGAGAAGCTGAATGGATTTCTGTGCTTTCTTCTGGGAGGGAACTTTGAAAATTGAGATTGGCTTATGAACCAAATCCTTTCCCTGAAGACTTGTAAGGGTCATAATTTTATCATTTCATTCAGATCCAGAGGCAGAACTATAGACATTGAGGGAGAGCAGGTGTGTCTAGGAATTTGGTTTCTAGAAAGCCCTTTCTCTTTTCCCACACACGCTTGCATTTTATATGTTTGACCAACTGCTGGCTGACTGGTCCTCATCTTTTGAGTATCAGATTTTCCCCCTAACAGGTGTAGCCCCACTGATTGCCAGGCTGCTAGTTTTCATTATGATGAGAGCTACTTAGTTTGGCTTGGATTTCTCTCCTGCTTGTAGAGTTCTGGTGCGTACGCGGTCACTGTATGACTCTACACTGCAGTCGGTGTGGTAAAGTCCTCTGGTTATTTTGGCGACCACTTACCAGGAAAACTACATTATCTGCCTATGTTGCACAATAAAAATCTGTTAGCATGGATCGATTGCCCTGAAATGTGCCATTTCACTCTGTAAACTCATGTTAATCTAGAGTCGGAGAATGGCTGGTTTTCTGAGTTACTGTATATTGAATAACAGTTCAGATTTAATTTCTATTAAGATATAAATAAGTTGAATTATAGTTAACTCTTAATTCGAAAGATCTTGTAATGCCTTCTGGTAATATTGTTGTGTTATTTCTATAAAAGAATAAGTGAACTTATAAAATTTTGTTTATATGGAACGTAGATGGGTTTTCTGTTATTAATTTCCCTTTAACTAAGTAGAGACTTCGTTGTGAAGTTGCTGAAAAATTCCATTAAAAGCTTCTCATTAATGTCTGGCTAAGCAGATGCAAAGAAAAGACCAGTCTTTGATAATGGAAACAGGAGACCATAGTTAGCTCTTAACTTTAGCAAATCAACTTCCAGCTTTGAATAATTAATTAAATTGTTACTATGGAGAATTTTCAGTTCACATAATTTCTATGGGGCGGGTGGGTGGTTCTTCATCCTCTGCTGGGTCAAGACCAAAACCACCTCCTCTCGAGTTTTCCAAAAGCTGTCTAAAACAAAAAATTTTTAACCAGTTTCAGCTCAGCTGACACTCATCCTAGGAACTGTGTTATTTGCTTCTTTAGACGCCTTTGTAATTTCCAGGATAAAGTTAGATCCTAAAGCTGTCTGTCGGGCTAGAGATGCCAACCAGTGGGTTATTTTCTCAGAGCCAGGGTCTCCAAGCCAAAGCTCCCTATGAAGTAATGGAGTCTTTCACAACAGGCCATACCATCCTCTGTGACCCATGCCAGACTCATGTGAAATTACAGTATGTTAATGATTTTCAGCACCCTGCCTTTCAGATGGGCCAGACAGTGAACATTGTTTGCGTCTGAAACTTTTCCAGTTGTAGAGCATATGATTTGGGGTTTATTTTCCCCTTTGGTCTTTCAAGAACAACTACTGTGTTTTCTGAATCATTTCTTCATAATAATTCCCACATTTTGGTTTTTCACTAATGCAAACCAACTTGAAAAAGCAGTGGGAACTTTTCTCATAAAACATCTGTATGGTGTATGCCTTTTTCCTCCTAACTAGAACCTGGTTGTATTCCATTGGGGAACAAAGCAGATGGAATTTTAAATCTTGATGGTTATGTCACAAGATGATTGGGGAAAATACTTGGAATTTGACCATTCCCATGTTGAACTCTGTGCCAACTCTCATTATAGAAGTAAATCATAGCTAAGTTTCCCTGTAAATTAAAGCTGGCTAATCTACTGAGACTGCTCTGAAATTTGGGAAATAATATCTGCTGCAATATGGAAAATTTTTGCTCTACTGTTTTCAATTAAACCAGTCTTTGTTGCACACACAAAATAAAATTCATTTTACGTGCTTGAACTCACAATCACAGAAATTTAGAAAATATTTGTCTAAAATATTAAGTTCAGCTTTTCATATCCTTTGTAGTTTTTTTTTTTTTTTTTTTACAGACAATCTTGAACTACACTTTTATGTTGAACCTGTTTTGAAAATTTGGAAAATCTCTGAGTTAAATTTAGTATTCTCCAAAAGGAAACAAATATTTTTTCAGAAGTATTGAAAAGTCCTTAAACTATTGGTAAAATTTTGGCAGGTGTTGAAATTTAAGTTATATGTATATAAGGATATTTCAAATATTACATATGGTGAGATATGAAGTTATTGAAAGTCATTGAGTCAACTCTAAAAATAGCAAAATTCTTTATTATTTTTTTTAAACCTAGGAAATGCTTATAGCTGAGCAAAAAGTAATTTCTAGAAGCTATAGAATTACTTTGGAGAATGTGGTATTAAAAACTTTAAAATGCTTTTTGGGAAGGAACATTTCTTGTCCCCACTAGGCCACCAGTGCAAAGGAACACTGAGTTTCTCTTGACCTTGAGTCAGGCCTATGGGAGCAAAAATCAATATTAAACCATAATGTGGAGAGGGCCAGATGAGGACATCTATTTTTTCTTTCCTTGCTCTTATGTTAGAACCTTGATCTAAAACAAGCAAATGAGGTGTTATCTTTATTTTGAAGCTCTCTGGAGATAGGTCTGCAGCCTCTCGCCTCACATCTAAGTGACCTTTCTGACCTATCAGAAATCTATCATGTCACTATCATTAATGTTTCTTAATTTAAGAATAATTACTGAACTCTTAAGATTTAAGAGTACTGGTATCAAACCTGGACCTAATAGTTTAGAGGGGATATAAGAGCAGGATTCCCTAGTGGCTCAGATGATGCAGACTGCCCACAACACAGGAGGCCCAAGTTCAATCCCTGGGTCGGGAAGATCCCCTGGAGAAGGAAATGGTAACCCACTCCAGTATTCTTGCCTGGAAAATCCCATGGACAGAGGAGCCTGGTGGGCTACAGTCCACGGGGTCACAAGAGTCGGGGGGTCACAGGAGACTGAGTGACCACACTTTTTCTTTCAAGACCAGGATAGGAAATTAATGTCTTTTCTGTACAGCAGAACTGATAATGGATAGGAAAAGAGGCCCGTTTTATAATAGAAACAGAAGCTTTTAAATATCAACCTAAGAGGAAATGTACAGGTTTTATATTGAAGAAAATACTAAAGCTTTGTTGGAGGACTTAAAAGAAGATCTGAATAAATGGCACGAACTACTGTATTCCCTAATGGACAGATTTCTTATTATTACTGATATTGCTACTACTGCTATTATTTGGCTGTGCTTCATGGCATGTGGGATCTTAGGGATCCCAGGGATTGAACCCATGCCCCCTGCATTGCAAGTGCAGAGTCGTAACCACTGGACCACCAGGAAAGTCCCCAGATTTATTATTTTAAATTGACTTGCTCTTACAAAATTATACATATGATTTAATCCCTAGAGAAATCCCATCCATTTCCTTTTTAAAGACGTAAGTTTAATTAGAGTCAGTTTTAGGTTCACAGCAAAATTGAGAGGATGGCACAGAGATTTTCTGTATACCCATGCCTCCACTCATTCTTAGCTCCGCAGTGGCAGTGTTCTCCCATTAGGGGGGTACATTTGTTACAACTCATGAACCTCCGATGATAACATCATCATTACCCAAAGTCCATAGTTTACATTAGGGGTCACTCTTGGTGTTGGGCATTCTGTGGATTTGGCCAAGTATATAATAACATGTACCCACCATTATTTTGGTTTTGACACGTTGATTTGAAAACTCATCTAGAAGCAAAGATGCTTGAGAATAGTCAAGGAGAAATTGCAAGTGTGGGGCAGATAGAGAGAATGGATATATATATTAATAAACACATGGCCGAGCCCCTTCTCTGTTCATCTGAAGCTATCACAGCGTTGTTAATTGGCTATATCCCAATAAAAATTAAAAGTTAAAAAAATACAGTAGAAAACAATGCAACAGACTGTCTCCAGACCTGTATTTTTCAGTGAACAAGAAAAAGATTGTTATGAAAAAAAGACAGAGGCTGAACCTGGTTCCCATGCCTGTTTTTCTAGCTGTAGGGGAGACTAAACAAGTGTGTATTTGGACTTCTTAGCTTCTCTAGGGCAAGGTGGACTTCACCTTCCACCAAGACGTACGTTGGGGAGGATTCTCGGTCATAGACATTTGCAGGCCCCATCCACTTCAAAAGCTAACTAACATGGATATCTAGTGTAGCTGACTATAACAGAATAGCTTCTGCTTCCATAGAGCGAGTGCATGGCATGGCTAGTTTTTTGGACTTTTTTCCTACTGGTCTCCAAGTTAGGAAACCTAATTTTTAAACAGTGATTGATCTATCTATTTTGGGCCGTGCTGGGTTTTCACTGCTGTGCAAGCTTTTCTCTAGTAGCAGTGAGCAGGGACTGCTCTCTAGTTGTGGTGTGTGGGCTTCTCATTACGGTGGCTTCTTGTTGCAGAGCACGGGCTCTAAGGGCACGTGGGCTTCAGTAGCTGTGGCTCCTGGGGTCTAGAGCACCAGCTCAATAGTTCTGGTGCATGGGCTTAGTTGCTCCAAGGCATGTGGGATCTTCCTGGATCAGGGATCGAACCCATGTCTCCTGCATTGGTAGGTGGATTCTTTACCACTGAGCCACCAGGGAAGCCCTCTGAAACCTAATTTTAATGAACATCTGTAATATAATCTAATCTCACTGTTGATAGTGGCTTTTTTTTTTTTTGATAGTGGTTTTTATTCTCCCTTTTTAACACTGGAGATAATGGCATCAATCTAGAAGCATTAGATGGGGAAGGCCTCCTGCCCTCCTAGGAAGGGCTAATCCCTCTCCCTCTCTGTCCCTTCTGACCTCTGCTAAACTTGAAACCATAGTCTCTTGCCCTATCCAACTTCCCAACTTTCTCT